ATGTTATCTTGTTAGACTCAGTCATTGTTCTAGCTTGTAGGTTCTTGCTAAACAATGTTTTTCCTCAGTGAATTTGATAGGCATGTCTTCAACAAAGATGGTAAAAATGTTGACTAGAAAAAGGCAAAGCGAAAACTTTATATTAAAAACAAAGGCAAAGGCAAAAATAAAAATAAGAACAAAGAACAACCTCCCTCCAGGCTGAAGCAATTCATTAATTAATATACTTTGGGTATGCTCACTCAGTTTCTAATTCATTGATTTATACTCATATTGAATGAAAATTTCTCAATCTTGTCCATAGGGTATAATATGTCTTAATGAAATATCTTGCTGAAGCTCAGATACACAGTCAGCCACAATTCCTTGATACATTAGTCTCTTGATTGCAAAGAAGATAAACTCATTTAGGTCACTCTAAGAAATGAGATTTCTTGTAAGACTACACATCCAGTACCTAGAACTAAATAGATCCCAGGAACCAAGACAGTTCTAGAGAAAATATGCTTTTTCCATCTCCCTTTTATTACTTACATGGTGCCTCATTCAAGTACTTGCTTCTATTTCAGGGTTTGCTTTGATCTCTTTCTGAAACAGACTATCTGGTCCCTTCTGTATTGTCCCACTCCAATCACGGCGAGAGCTAATCTGATTAGCCACCACTGTGCAAAGAATAACCAAACTCTACTTCCCCATGGAAGAGGCTATGAGTGAATCATTTTTATCTAAGGAGAAACACTGGGTATGGTAGACACTATGACTGATGTATCTGATACTTCTAATTTGCTAATTCTGGCAAAGAAAGTGATGTTAGAATGATGTGAGTAAACACACTGCCTAACAATCACAAATTTTGCTTTTAAATATATTTATAGACCAAAGCATGGGGAGAGAACAAAAGAAAATATATTTTAAAAGCACAAGAGATGTATGGAATGCAGTGAAAAAGTCAAACTGTGGATATCATTCGAGTTCCAGATGTGGAAGGGAGAAAGAGAATATAGGAAGAAGTAATATTTGAATAAATAATGTCCAAGAATTCTCTAAAAATCCAAAATAAATGAGCCACAAGAAGTGCTATGAACCTCAAGAGATATGAATTTTAGAAAATTAAAAATTCAAATCTAGACATATCATAATCAAACCAAAGACAAAGTAAAATTTCCAGTGCCAGAAAAAAGTCTCCATGGCTTCTGGCTGTGAAAACCAGTGGAGATTGTGGCTGAGGGAAACAGAGGGCTACTGGAGTCCCAGATGTTATTATTAAAGGGCCCACACATGGACTTATTCGCTGACAGATTCACTAGCTCTGGGCTCCAGCACTGAGGCAGCAGCTCAAAAGATACCAAGGACATATAGGGACTAACTGAGTTGTATGGTTTCAGGTCAAGGGCTGAAGAGACAGCTTTCTCCCAGATGGAGAAGCTGGTAAAAGTCATTGTTTCTTTGTTGAGCCCTCCCCCATCCCAGCCTGCAGACACAGGCAGCTGCCATATCTAAGTCTCCATCAACCTGGCTAACATGGTTCACCCTGCCCTGGTGATTCCCTGACACCCCCGCCCCACCTAATTTGCAGGCCCACCCAAGCAGCTTCCAATGGCTTTTCCATACAAAAGGCCTGTCTTGGCTCATGCTGTGGAGTTCCCAAATCTCTCAAAGGTTCACAAACCCCAAATAAGCAGCAACTTGCCTCGGCATGCCCCAACCCCCTTGCTAAGCAGCCCCAAGCTTGGCACTAGCGAAAGCCAGCTTCAGCTCACAGCCTCTCCGAAGCACCTCCAAGCTCTGCGTGGGTAGCAGCTATCTGCAGATTGCTTTGTTGCTCATTTCAGGAGGCCCTAGGCAGAGCATAGGCTTCAGCTGAACTTGGCCTGTAGTTGGGCCCCTCCTAGGAGGCCCCAGAGCCAGCATGCGCAGTTGTCAGCTTCAAACAAAGGAAGAGCACCGCCTGCTGCCTCCACAGATGACACATCCAAAGGGCAGACTGGGCAGGCACCAGAGCCCTGGCTGTAGGGTCAGCCCCTGCACAACGGCTCCTTCAGTGTAGTCACAGCCAGTCCTCATAATCAATCAGTCCAAGGGTCAATGCCTCCTATTGACATGTAAACAACAACCAAGGCTCAACTACAATAGGAGAGCACACACAACCCTCACAAGGAACACATGTGCAGCACACAGCTGAGGGGACCAGGAAGACTGCACCACTGAGCTCCATAGGACACCTCCTACATAAGGCCACTCTACCAAGACAGAGAAACATAGCTTCACCTAATAAATACAAACAAAAGCAAAGAGGCAGCCAAATAGGGAATGTCCGAAATGAAAGAACTGAACAAAGCTCCAGAAAAAGAACTAAACAAAAGGGACACAAGCAATCTACCAGATGCAGAGTTCAAAACACTGGTTATAAGAATGCTCAATGATCTCAGAGAGAACTTCAACAAATAAATAGGAAACATGAAAATGGAGACAGAAAATATAAAAAAAGAGCCAGTCAGAAATGAAGACTACAATAACTGAAATAAAGACTACATTAGAGGGAATCAACAGTAGATTAGATGAAGCAGAGGCTCAAATCAGCATAGCAGAAAACATCCAATTATAACAGCAAAAAGAAAAAAGAATCAGGGCCAGCCAAGTGGCTCAGTTGGTTAAGAGTTAGCTTAAGAGCGCAAGCTCTGAGCAACAGGGTCACTGGTTCGATTCCCACGTGGGCCAGTGAGCTGTGTCCGAGCTGAGCTGCCGCTGAGCTGCCAACAGGTGGCAGGATGGTTCAGCTGGAGAGAGCACATGCTCCTAACAAGATTTGTGGTTCGACTCATGAATGGGATAGTGGGCTATGACCTGCAACAAAGATTGAACACGGCACCTTGAGCTGATTGGCTGCGAGCTGCCTACAGGCGACCGGATGGCAACTGGACTTGGAGCTGAGCTAGCTGCGTCCTCCACAACTATGATTGAAGGACAACAACTTGGCTGTTCCCCTTCCCCAATTCCCCAACACTGTTCCCCTTCCCCAATTCCCCAATAAAAATCTTTAAAAAAAAAAAAAAAAGGGAGGACCAAAAAACAAGATTACTCTACCCAGCAAAGCTATTATTTAGAATTGAAGGACAGATCAAGAGCTTCCCAGACAAGAAAACTGAAAGAGCTCATCACTACCAAACCACTATTATAAGAAATGTTAAAGGAACTTCTTTAAGAAAAGAAAAAAAGATTAAAATGTACATAAGATGGCAATAATCTATCAACAATTACTTTAAATGTAAATGGATTACATACTCCAATTAAAAGATCTAGAGTGGTTGAATGGATAAGACCCTCATATATGCTGCCTATAAGAGATGCTTCAGTTGAAAGACTCACACAAACTGAAAGTAAAGGGATGGAAAAAGATATTTCATGAAAATGGAAATGAAAAAAAAAAAAAAAAGCTGGCATAGCAATACTTATACCAGACTTTAAAACAAAGGCTATGGGGCCGGCCGAGTGGACCATTGGTTAAGAACTGGCTTGGGACGCCAGAGGACCCCAGTTCGGATCCCACATATGAGGGCCAGTGACACTGCCCTCTGCAGCTAAGATGGTGAATGGCAGCTTGACCTGGGGCTGGGCTGCCTTGGGTCACCGGCGAAGGTGTAGGCTGTAGTCCCCTGCTGCAGTGGGCTGCCATAAGCTACCGTGTGTAGCCGGCTGCCAGCATGAGCAGCCAGCAGCCGCCGTGAGCAGCCATCCAGGAGCCAGCGACTGATCTGCCTCGCCCAGGAAGAGCGCAATGATGGTGCCAGCTTGGGCCAGTGAAGCAACATCCTCCACAACTAGACTGAAGAACAAAGCAAAAGCAACTTGTCTGTTCCCCTTCCCCAAGTTCCCAAGAGCTTTCCCCCTCCCCCAATTCCCCAAAAAAATCTTTAAAAAAAAAAAAAAAAGGCTATGTAACAAGAGACAAAGAAGTACCCAGTAACCCCAGTTCTGGGTATTTATCCAAAGAAACCCAAAACACTGCCTCAGAGGGACATGTGCATCCATATGTTCATTGCATGATTATTTACAATAGCAAAGATATGGAGGCAACCTGGGTGCCCATCAGTAGATGAATGGATAAAGAAGATGTGGGAAATATATACAATGGAATATTACTAAGCCATAAAAAATGAAATCTTGCCATCTCCAAAAACTTGGATAGACCTAGAGGGTATTGTGCTAAGTAGAGTAAATCAGACAGAGAAAGACAAATGCCATATTATTTCATTTATATGTATAATCTAAACCATAAAATAAAGAAAAAAAAAACAGAAATAAACTCATAGATACAGAGGACTTTTGAGGGTTGCCAAGACAGTAGGGGAGTCGGGGTGAAAAGGAGGAACGGATTAAGAAGTACAAATTAGTAGTTACAAAATAGTCATGGAGAAATAAAGTATAGCATAAAGAATATAGTCAATAATAACTGTATAGTGTCAGATTTATTGGGGTGATCATCTTGTAAGTTATACAAGTGTCTAATCATTATGTCGTATACCTAAAACTAATATTATATGTCAACTAAAATTTAAAAATTATTGAAAAAAGATTAATGACAAAAACTAATAAGACAGAACAATTATAACAATATACTGTAATAAAAGCTATATGAATGTGGTCTCTCTCAAAATATTTTATTATACTGTACTCACCCTTGTTTTGATGACATGGGATGACACAATGCCTATGTGATGAGGTCAAGTGAGGTGAGTGACACAGGCATTGTGACGTAACAGTAGGCTAGTGTTAACATTCTGAGGCTACATCAGGAGGATCATTTGCTTTGGGTGAACCTGGATCACTGAGGCATGATGATGTCAATGGTACTATTTTTGGACCAAGATTGACTTTGGGTAACTGAAACTGCAGAAAACAAAACCATAGATGGGGGAGGGGGGGACTACTATATTGACATTTCATCATAAGCTGGCCTAACTATAGGTGGTTCCTGAACTTAAAATATATGAACTTATCACCTTTTGTGCACAGCTTTGTACCTTAGCCAGGGCCCAGGACATCACTGTTCTTCTCCTATTACACTTGTCTCCAACCACCTGGAATTTCTGTTAATCTTCACAGCAGATGCTGGAAAAAATAAAAACACAATTCTGTATTAACTAAAAATACAGGGAAAGGGAATGGGATACAGGAATAATGCCAATGACTTTCTATTTTGCAAAGCAAATGTATCTTCAAGAAAATTTGTAGAGCTGTGTTATTCATCATAAATAATTCAACATAAATAATTCAAATGTATTTGAACCCTTTCCTATGTGTACACCTTTCATTTTAATACCAAATTATCCATTTATAAGATTTCTACTCTTACAACTTTGATATGATGGTGTATCAAAATTGAATATGATTAAGCAATGTACCGTATTGGAGACAATGTATATGGTATACCAGGTCTGACAATTAAGTCCACAAACTTGTTGCAATTATGTTGCTAAACTTTTTTTATATCAGAGAGTTTATTCATTATGAATTGGTACTAACTGAACAAACAATTAACTAAGTTTATTATTTGGAAGTGCTGAAAAGGCTGCATGAAAAAGTTAGGCAACCTGAACTTTTCGCCAACAATTTATGGCTCTTGCATCACAACAATGCACCAGGTCACACGGCAGTGTCTGTGAGGGAGTTTGTAGCCAGTAAACAAATAACTGTATTGGAACGCCCTCCATACTCACCTGATCTGGCCCCCAATGACTTCTTTCTTTACCCAAAGATTAAGGAAATATTGAAAGGGAGACATCTTGATGACATTCAGTACATCAAGGCTAATACGATGACAGCTCTGATGGCCATTCCAGAGAGTTCCAAAATTGCTTTGAAGGGTGAATGAACTAGGTGCTGGCATCGATGCATAGCTTTCCAAGGGGAACACTTCGGAGGTGACCATAGTGATATTTAGCAATGAGGTATATAGCACTTTTTCTAGATGAGTTCGTGAACTTAATTGTCAGACCTTGCGCGCGCGCGCGCGCGCACTCATGTGTGTGTGTGTGTGTGTGTGTGTGGTATATATTTATTAAAAGCACAGAACCATAATCTAAAACAAACAAGAGCGTATAACATTTCAATATTTAGTAGGGGGAGGGACAATATTTTATTACAGTTAATAAAAAGTAAAGATTAATTTTCTTCCAAGAAGGAAACATAATTTACATTTTACAGTGTAATATAAAAATATTATTAGTACAGTAATACTATCACTAGTAAAAGTGGAACTTATTACCTATTCAATCTATTCAATAAAATGGCCACTTGCTTCTAATCAGTATCACAATTCACTTGAGAAATCTGAGGTTTCCTTAAGCAGGTTTTGCTTTACTGATCCTCCTGGGCTTGTCATTCCCATTTCCCACATAGTATGACACATGGAGCAGCAGCTTACGATAACAGATGAACACTGTGGTAGGCTAACACAAAGAAATGCCACAGATCCAAAAATTATAAACAGCATTTGAAAAGGGAAGGAATTTTCTAATAAAAATGCTCAATGGGGATGGCTTTGAAGACAAAATATTAAAGTCAGCCTTGAAATATCACTTAATATAGTAAGAAAAAATCCCTTCATGAGATTTGACTTTTTATGTAATTCATAGCCTGGTTCTTTCTTATAAACCTTTGAAAAGTGCTGTGAATAGAATATATTGTACTAGGGATTCAAAAAGGTTTTGATTAGCCATTAACAAGTTAAGGATTATAAGATTACATTTCAGGTTAAAGATTTTCTTTAAATGCTGAAGTGGAATCATGTCTGAAGATATTCTATCCAAATATATAACTTAACTTTTAAACTTGTCTAAATTCTTACAAATGTTTTACATATCATTTTAAGGCAATAAATTGAACATGTTCACTTAAAAAATATTGTTTCTAAACTCTTTATTAGTATCAAGTAGAAAGAATTTATATCTTTATTATGCCAAGGAGTAATTTAAGTGACACCCCCAATCAGTTTCTTGTCACGTAGTATAATACATGATTACCAGACAACTTTGCCTCTTGTCAAAGAGAAACAAACCAATGTACTAAGCTCAAAATTTTTGTGAAAATAAATATTTGGGAAACTAAACTATAAATGTTATCAAACACCAATGAAATACATTAAACAATTATTGGGGAATCAGCTATTACTCTGACCATCAACATTGGCATAAGAAGTAAACAGTTTACAGTTTACTAATCTTGCCGGGATTATTTACTAATCTTCCCATAATTTTAAGAACAGAGATTCCATACTCCTCTCTTCAGATTCTAAGTAATAGGTCTAGAATAGGGGAAACCCAAATTATACTAGTCTGTAGAATCCATGTTCTCACTATGTGATTGCCTATATACCGGGGGTGCCATGATCTCAGTTCTCACTATGTGGTTGCTTTTATACCAGGGGTGCCAAAAATATGTATATAAGTGGACACTTTGGTCAATGTTGCTCAAGCAGTAGTTTGCTGTACTTAGAAGTGTCTGAACGCTGATGGTAACCATTTTGAGCACCTCTTGTAATTGCAGAAGTCAAACGTAACTTGTACTCATCTTTTGTTATTAGTATATATTGAGTATTACAATTTTAATACACGTTTCCTTTCTTAAAATGTGTATACATTTTTTGGCACCCCCGGTGAGCATCACCTAACAAAATAACATTTGAAAGTTTTTTGAGCCCTTTGGGCCATTTGTGACATCAATAATGGCTGGATGCTTTCCAAACCACAATATTTTTCCTCTCAAAAATCTTCTCTAATATATTTTTACACCACCATTGCCTCTTCCTCTCAATTTATTTTTAATAAGATTTATTTTGAATTATGAAAGTCATGCTTATTACAGGAAACTTGAATGATAAGTAAAATTTTTTTTAAATACCCATAATTCATCAACTTTTTCCCCAATGATTTTGATGGAATAATGGCCATCTGAACAAGGTGTTTCACCTCGGTGAGGGGAAAAAAAATCTTCAAAGGATTCACTCATGGGCCGGCCGAGTGGCGCATTGGTTAAGAGCTGGCTTGGGACGCCTGCTCTGAGCAGCAGGGTTCCAGTTCAGATCCCACATGGGGGCCAGTGATGCTGCGCCCTCTACAGCTAAGATGCTGAACAACAGCTCGACCTGGAGCTGGGCTGCCTTGAGTCGCCGGTGACGGCATTGGCTGCAGTGAGGCTGCAGTGGACTGCTGTAAAGCAACCGTGAATGGCTGGCAGCTGGCATGAGCTGCCAAGAGCCACCATGAGCGGCCGGCCAGTGGCCGGTGACCGATCTGCCTCAGCTGGGAAGAGCATGATAATACCAACATGGGCCAGTGAAGCAACGTCCTCCACAACTAGACTGAAGAACAAAAGGACAGCAACTTGTCTGTTCCCCTTCCCCGATTCCTCAACGCTGTTCCCCTCCCCCAATTCCCCAATAAAATCTTTAAGGAAAAAAAAAAAAGATTCACTCAGACCTTTGATAAATTTAGTTACCATGGTTAATCGTATCTTCTGTCTTTACTAGAAAAGTAATAGAGGTTCTGCCTCATAGGTACAGTTGAATTCAGAAAATTAGATACTGGCATGACTTTACTCCACTGTAGGTGTTTCTTCTTCACAAATATCATTTACATAGATGTGTCAATGATAGCTATCACTTATAGAAAGCCTTATTTAATGATATAATCTTTGCATCAACCATAACAGTAAATTATCATTATTCTCACTTTACAAAACAAATGTCTGAAATTAATTACACAGCTCTTAGGTGGTAAAGTGAGAATGTTAGGGGATTTGAACCCTGCTCCCTCTGCTTCCAAGGGCATCCTTTCCACTACAGCACAGAACTTCATCATGAATATCATAATCTGCTTAACTCCCCTCTTTGGTTTGGCACTTCAAAATCTCCCTCACCTTTTATTTTTTAACTAATATCAATAATATTGGAAGTAATATCTTGATATATAAAACTTTGTTTTTATTATTATTCCCCCAAAATAGAGACTTAAAATTTGGATTATTTCATTAAAGGCAGGAATATTTTTAAAGCAACTTGTACATATTACTGATTGCTTTCCTTGGTTAGATTATTCAAATTATAATTCAATCAGTAGAGCATGAGGCTTTCTGCTTAACTGGGTTCTTTATAAAAACATTGGTTAATTTAATAGATGAAAACTGATGTTTTTGTTGCTAAGTTAAAAAAATTTTTTTGATTGCTATAATTCACTGTGTTTTAATATATAAATTCTTCATTCTGTAGAGCGAAACTTATATAAGGGCTGGCAATGTCCCTGAACTAGAAGTGGGAAGATTTGGGGGTGGGCTTTAGACCTTTCATTCCCTTTATTCATTCAGTAGTTACCCAATTCCCACTCTAGGTCAGGAACTATACTCTAGTGTTCAGGATATAAAGATGAAAGCCTATTAATGACCTCAAAGAGCTTGTGAACTAGCAAAAAAAACCAGACACAAATAGACAATTATAGCATAATGTGACTAGCGCTGTGACCAAAGTTACACCAAGAAGATGTGACAAACACAGAGGAGGGCACTAAAGCCCTCCTTCAGGAAAGTCCTGGAAGCCCTTTTGAGGATGTTGGGGCCTGAGATTCATCTTAAAGAGAAGCAAAAGTCAGCCAGTTTTCCCCTAACATCCCCAACCAGAATTAACTGCTTCCTCATCTGTGTTCCTTTACCAATGTGTATTGTACTTATTTGTTTCCATATGTCTCTCTCACAAGGCTGCAGTTCTCAATGGGGAGGGACTATATACCTAATTAGTCCAGCACAATGTTCCAAAAAGTAGTAGGAATAAAATAAACATTTAACTAATTTTTGAAATTCTAGCCATGCAGCTAGCTATTCCCTCCCATAACTTCCTCTTGACACTTATAAATATAAATACCTGTGGTTTTTCTTTTAATTGTGAAAATAATACTGTTCACCACATACCCATCATAATGGCTAAAAGGAAAGGATGGAAAATAGGAAGTGCTGGTGACAGATCTGGAGCAACAGGAATGTTCATACATTGCTGGAGGCAGCGGAAACTGGTACAACCACCTTAGAAAACTGCTGGCAGTTTCTATTAAAGCCGGGTCACACCTCATAAGCCAGCAATTCCACCCCTAGGAATAAACTCAACACAAGTGCATGAAAATGTTTACCGCAAGGCATATTTTCACCAAAAGCAGCACTATTCATAAAAGGTCCAAACTAGAAAATACACACATTCAGCAACAGAATTAATAAACTTATTGTTATGGTCACACACAGCAAGGAAAAAGAATCCTCACTCAACAATATGATGGAATGTCATTAAAATAATTTTGATTATTAAAGAGGCAGATTTTTTTTAAAACCACTTACTGTATGATTACTTTTACATAAATCACAAAAATAGGCAAAACAATTCTATGTTATTAGAAAACAGGAATGGTCAGTTAGAAGTGGGGGTTTAGTGCCTGTTAGGAAATAGGAAGGAAGAGCTTCTCGGTGCGCTGGTAAGGTTGTTTCTTGATCTGGGTTCTGGTTACACGTGTAAATTCAGTGTGTGCCCTTTTCTGCAATGATCAGTTGACCCTTGAACAATAGGAGCATTAGTGATACCAACCTGCCAGTCAAAAATCTGTGTATAACTTGAAGGCCCTTCTCATATGTGGATTCCAAACCACAGATTGAAAAGTATATTATACTTGTGTTTTTTAAAAAATAATACATCTTATTTGAGAGAAAGCTGAAAAATACAGAAATGTTTTAAATAATTTAAATCAGCCAAAATCCACTATCCAGAAATTACTAACATTTTGAATTATTTCCTTCTCGTCTTTTTTTGAAGCCACCGTGCTTGTGGACCTCCTCCTCCTCTCTGCTCTCCATATATTTACATGCACACATTTAGCTGTTAGGTCCATTTCTATTGTTTTACTTCTGTTTTTTTTTATTTTATTTTACTTAAAGTTAATCCTTATCAACTATTTGTTGCAAGCATGTTTTTTAAACTGATGCAATGCATTCCATCAAATGTATGTGTACATACATATACACATATATAGTGAATATATATATACTCTTCTATGTATATTATTATATATTTTTAGGAATATTATATATTATACATATATATATTCCTAGGAGCTATTGGGTCATAAACATTCTTGAAGCTCTTCATTCATTCTACAATATATTTCCTTCCAGAAAGGTTGCACCCCACCGGCAAGGTGCGCGGGCTCCTTGTATCACAATCCAACCCCAGGTCATTTATTATTATTTCTATTTGTTTTTAGACATTGGGGCTTAAAACAGGACTTAAGGAATCTGCCGTTTTGCACATGGCTGAGTCGCTTCGCAGGACTCGGCCCTCTGCTCACCCCTACCTTCCAAGAGCGCGGGATCTACCGGTACCTCGCCCCGCTGTGCAACTGCGCATGCGCGCTGGCCCCCAGCACCACCCGGTTGCCGTGGGAACCGCAGCACTGGGCTGCGCCCGCACACCCAGTAGTGAGCGGTACCGAAGCCCGGGCATGGAGCTGCCGGATCCGGTCCGCCTGCGGCTGGGAAACTTCAGCCGGACCGTGTTCAGCGACTCCAACCGGACTGGGCCGGAGTACAACGAAGGTCCGGGTGAGTGGCCGAGGCCCAGAGCAGTGTGTGTGGCTCACCAAGAAAGTGGCGTGGGTTCTGGAGCAGCCAGATTTTGCCCGGACCTAAAATGGCGGTTTCGCCTTCAGCAGGTTCTCTGCAGTAGGGGAAAAACCTTCGAGGAGAGGCCGGGCCAAGAGCTGGGGCTGGGCCTGGGATGTATCCGGTCCCTGATACCCGTCCAGTCCCGAGCTGAGCATGCTGCGGCCTGGCCAGGGAATTGCAAGCTCAGCAGCTAAGGTGGCGCTGGCCTTCTTCAAAAAAGCCACCTTCACAGCACTCGTCAGGTCCCTTGCCCTCTTCGAAGGCCAGCATTGCTTTTCCTCTGTGGCGTCAGCCCTGGCTTTTCTGATCTGGTTGAAGGGAATCACCCTTTCCCACTCCGCACATCCCAATCTTGGTAAAATATCTTTTCCTTTTCTCTTTTCCTAGCAGAACAAATAAGTCCCACCACAAGGCAGTTTTATAGCAGAAGAGATGGAAAGTTTTCTTAATGAGTCATTTTAAACCACTATCCACTCCAGAGTGACAGTGGCCACACTAGCATCATCTTCAACAAAACTCTTCCCCACTTCCCCTGCCTTCTCCTTATGTTCCCCTGTGTAAACTGTTTCCCTAAATCTGGTAACAAAATGCCACCACGCTACATTCAGCATGAGACAAGTGATAACACAGTTTCCTCCAAAACAGTTGCCCCTTTTTAAATCATGATGATAAACTTCATACTGTCAACCAAACCCAGTTTTTAATCACTTAATTCTTCTGGAAGTAGAAATCTTTTCCTCTTGCTTGGTTTAGGTATTTTCAAAAGGGCCAGAGAAAAGTAAAGTTAATTCCCATAGTTGCATTTTTTTCAACTTGATTATTTGCAGTTCTCCCAAATTAAGCCCTCTTCATGATTTAGGATGTACAGAGAAAAACATAATGTGAAAAATTAGATTTCTAAATTTCTGATTCTAAAGCTAAGGCTTAACAGGCCCTAAAATCTGATGATGCAAGGTATCAGGGGTCAGCAAACATTTTCTGTAAAGGCCAGATAGTAAATATTTAACATTTTGCAGGCCATAGGTCTCTGGCAGCTATACATAATGGTAATTGAAAAGGCATGGCAGTTTTCCAATGAAATTTTATTTAAGGACACTGAAATTTGAATTTCATATGATTTTCAGTGTCACAAAATATTATTCTTTTATTTTTACCCCAACCATTTAAAAAATGTGAAAAATCATTTTTAGCTCACTAGTTATATAAAATCAGGCAGCTGGCTGGTAGTTTGCTTACCCCTAATTATATTATATAATGTTTTAATTTAAATTCCATTTACAGAACTTAGTGTACTTTTGCAAAATTTGGTAAATTCATTTCTTGTGCTTTCAAGGTTCATTTACATATTAATTTGATTTTCAATTGCATGATTACAAATTTGATCTGAAATATACACATAGCATAACTCTTAAGATGCTCATGTTCAAAATTTAAAAAAAAAAAGAAACTTCCTTGCAAAATTTGACTGCAGTTTCTGCTCCAAAGGGATTAACATTTTCCACTTAACTAGTTTATCATTATTTTTCCATATCCTCTTCTTTGTGGATCTGAAATAGGTTTGGTTATTTGTTCTATAATTATGTTTATTATGACCATATCCACAGCTGACCAAGAGTTGTACTGTTGTTATGAAAAACCCTAGGATGGTGAGTTGCCTTCAGATTTAACAGATTTGAAGAATTCATTCCTTCATCAATGGTAATTTAATAAACAGGTACAAGCAAAAGTAGATCATAACAATATTTAAAATCAGATCATAATAATTAGACATATTCTTGGAGCTAAAGGAAACCTTATTGCTGTAAGACCATGATTATTTCTTATATTTTATAATTATTTAATGACATAAAATACTAAGTTGTAGAGAAAAAGAATAAACCTGTTTTTTAAAAATTTATTTTAGAGACTTTGTAAATTCTTACATTTAGAGCAATTGATTTCAAAATATGTATCTGCTCTTAAATTGTTAGAATTTAGTAAAATTTAATATGCATAGGGCCCAATTTAAAAAATAAAATTCTTATTTTAGGCCCCTTCTCCCTTAATATAAAACCAAAACATTATACAATAAGCCTTAAATAAATGAAACTCATGTATCATGAAGGGTTACACTGATAATGTCCTTATGACAGTCTGTTTTCATTAGCTCATTCTTTCTACTTATGCGTATTTGGTATTTACCATGTGTAAAGCAAGATGCTAGATTCTATGAGGGTCTCAAATTTGGGTAGAATGTGGTCTATGCTTACACTGAGGCTATAGATATAAGTGAAATCAAAGGAAAGTAGACTAATAATTATTGAGAGCCTCCTAAGTGCCAGGCATGGTGCTAAGGTGAAATAATTTATATTATCTCTAATCCTCACAAGCAACCTCTGAGGTAATTTTAATGTTACCATTTTATTGATGAAGAAATTGAGGCTCGAAGAGGTTAAATAACTTATCTGAAGTGTGGCATCCATAGTTACAGGAAAGTTTGGGGAGTTCCAGGTTTACTTGGACTCCAAAATTCATGATCTCTTCAGTATACCAGACTGTGTCATGAGTGAGGGGAGTGTGGGTCTTTGCTAGCACTTCTTATGCACAAGTTAGAGTGATAAGTACTTAGAAGAAAGAGGTATCTACTGGGGTGGAGGAATACGATCAAGAAAGGATTTACAGAAAAAAGTGGTACTGAATTGAGTATTAATGAATGGGTGGGATTGTGGTATATTTAAAGAGGTGTGTGTCTAATTCTAATTTGGGGTGATTAGTTTTTGTATGAGATTAGTTTATATGTGAGAAAGTAGTTTTTATGTATTTGATGTGTTTATTTTATAGGCTCTTTACATAGAACTCTACAAAGAAGGTAATAATTATTGTGTTTCAAGAGGATTCATGTTGATATTCTACATTTAATCTGTAGTATCTATAGTGTGCAAAAAAAGTCAGCAGTATGGGCAAAATGATAAAGTAATTGAAAGACATGAAACGTACCCCCAAGAAGCCAATATATGAACTAAATAGCATGATGCTGAATATTTCCTTTCACTGGCAGTGATTATAAATAGGCTTAATATTTGTAGTTTTGTTGAGGAACTACAAATTTCTAAGGGAATAAAGGACGTAAACCAGGATTAAGAATTTGTTACTTTTCTCTCTGTTTTTTCTGTAGATAATGAAATGGTTTCCAGTTTGGCACTGCAGATGTCACTTTATTTTAACACTTACTTTTTCCCACTTTGGTGGGTGAGCAGCATGATGATGCTTCAGATGAAGGTAAGTCTGTGCTTTTAATACTTCTGTTGCGGTCTCTTCTACCCATCCCTGGCATTGTTACATTGTTAATAAAAGTAAAAGTTCTTAATAATTTGTTTTCTATCTCAGGTCAGTTTTACTATACAAACATGCGATTTTACAAACATGTTTGTTTTTATTTTTTTAGTATTCCATCTTGCCTGATTACTACAAATTCATTGTGGTCACTGTTATCATCTTAATAACCTTAATTGAAGCTATCAGGTTGTATCTGGGCTACATGGGTAACTTACAGGAGAAGGTAAGCTCTTTCCTTTCTCCCAGTACTACACATAAATGCAATAAGGTTTTCATAGGAAGGAAAAGGCAGTGGGATATGGTAGAAGGAGCAAAGGCCTGTAGTTAAGGCCTGGCTCCAACTTTACCACTTTGGTTACCTGTAGACTGTTTGCTTAATCTCTGAACCTTGGCTTCTTCATGTATAAACTGGGAAAATATTTACTTCAGAGGTTTGTTGGGATTAAATGAAATAATTTATGTAAAGTACTTGAACATAGTAAGCACTTAAGAATTGGTAATTTTCCCTCTTCACACCAGTCTTGAAAATACTTAATCAATTAAACATGTCTGTTTGGATCCTGAGTAAGAAAATGGGGGGAAGTCATGAACTCATTTCCTATGCTGGGCACATGTTTTCTGAATCATCTTGTCGCCTAAGCATTTATAGTTACCAGAGCTTAGGGGTAAAATCTAAAGATTTCTAAGGTTTCTAGGCCCTTCATACTTAGGCCTCACCTGGCGTATCTTACTATATTTATTGCTATTTCTTTTTTTTTTTAGCTGAGCCATCCTGCCACATGTTAGCAGCTCAGCTCAGGCCGGGAATCAAACTGGCGACCCTGTTGCTCAGAGCTCGCACTCTTGAGCAAGCTCTTAACCAACTGAGCCACTCCACTGGCCCCTTTTATTGCTATTTCTTAAACCAAGCATCCATTACAGGATGACATGTTGATTCCCAATCATGCTCATCCCATATCTTTGCTTACTTACTTTCTTGTCTCTTCCTCCTTCTACCCAACTTTAAAACCCTAGGTCCTGATTTATTTCTTTCGGGGCCAGCCAAGTGGCTCAGTTGGTTAAGAGCTCGCTCAAGAGTTTGAGCTCTGAGCAACAGCGGTTCGAGTCCAGCCCGAGCTGAGCAGCTGCTGAGCTGCCAACAGGTAGCAGGATGGCTCAGCTAAAAAAAAAAAAAAAAAGAAAAGAAGTCTTAGAGCTGATTTCTTTCTTTCACTTACCCTAATCACTGTCTTATTTCTTGTAGCATTTAGTCTATAATACTAAATGGTGCATTTAATTATTCACTAAGGCGTAGTAGTCTAGGATTATCATATACATTCGTTTTGTCTTCTAATCTAAACTGTAAGTTCTCTGAGGACAGGGACCATATTATACTCCTTTTGAATTACAGAGCTCATAATGTATGTTCACAGTAGTGCTAAGTACTTATCTGTGTAAACAAAGGCATGTACTTCACTGATCTGATTCCTCCTAATATGTGCCATTGCAGGTTCCTGAGTTGGCTGGCTTTTGGCTTTTGAGCCTTCTATTGCAGTTGCCTTTAATTCTTTTCTTGCTCTTTAATGAAGGCCTAACAAATCTGCCCTTGGAAAAAGCAGTACACATCATCTTCACTATGTTCCTTACTTTCCAAGTTGTTTCAGCATTTCTTACCTTGAGGAAAATGGTAAATCAGTTGGCAACTCGTTTCCACCTCCAAGACTTTGACCGGCTTTCGGCAAATAGAGGAGGCATAAGAACAATGAGATCCTGTATAGAAGAGATTTGACCCAGTGCTGTTGAGTGAAAATCTTAAAGATCTTGCCAGAAGACTGCAAAAGTTAAGAAAAATCAGAGATCTAGCATGAGATAAAGGACAAAGCAAGTTTTGGAATTATATACTCTCTAGCTCTGAAATTCCAAATTTGGGGGCAGTAAGACTGTACAGTATATGAAAGCAGTAAGTTACCCCTAAAGCCTAGACGTTCTTTACCTGATGCCAAGTAACTTAATTTTTAGTTTGTTGTCAACTTTCTCAGGTGTGTAGAATTCTGTGTTGGTGGTCACAGTTTACCAGCTTTACTGTAATATTTCTGGTTAACACCTGTAACTAGAAATGTGTATATTTCTTTTAAACTTGTTGGCTGTCCATATCTTGACAGTATATCTGAAGCACATGGAAATGCTTGTCAATATTCTTGTGCATTAGACTATATTTGTAAACAAAGACACCAAGTGTTCCTGTCTGCTATGGTTAAATTTTAACCCTGGTTTTAGCCTTTACACTGAGATTGAGAAGAAAACAGGTGGATTATCATGGTATTTAGGAAGTATTTTTATCATAAATTTGTAACTTTTGTAAAATCATGTTCAGTATTTATGGTGGTGTGCAAAATGTCTTTACTATAAATTATAAAATATTTATGTTAAAGTAGCTGCACAAATCATTCTTGTCTTGTATGGTTCTTTTGAATCATGGGTTTGTTATCTTTATTACAGAGTTACAAGGGAAGGAAGGAGAAAAAATATATATTGGAGAGCCTTCTATGTAGTGGGCACTGTACTAAGCACATTAACCTTTGTAATCTCGTCTACTAAATCATTATTCACTGAAGAACTGCCATATACCCAGTATGTTCACATGAGACTTAATTGAAAACCAAGTCTACCAGTGCCTATTAATACATAGTAAGAGCTAACGTGGCCAAAGGGACTATACACATGATCTCAAATGAGCATGTTCCCTTGCTGATAGGAAAAACCTATTTAGGGAAATTCTGTTAAGAATAAAATTACGGGCTCTGTGGTAAAGGCATGGAATTGGTGGCTGCGGCCTATTGGTTGAGATGAACCACGCTCTTGGTGGAGACAGGGTAGCCGAACCGCAGCCATGGCCAGTACTGTGGTAGCAGTTGGACTGACCATTGCTGCTGTAGGATTTGCAGGCCGTTATGTTTTGCAAGCCATGAAGCATGTGGAGCCTCAAGTAAAACAAGTATTTCAAAGTCTACCCAAATCTGCCTTCAGTGGTGGCTATTACAGAAGTGGGTTTGAACCCAAAATGACAAAACGAGAAGCAGCATTAATACTAGGTATGAGCCCTACTGCCAATAAAGGAAAAATAAGAGATGCTCATTGACGAATTATGCTTTTAAATCACCCAGACAAGGGAGGATCTCCTTATATAGCAGCTAAAATCAATGAAGCTAAAGATTTACTAGAAGGTTAAGCTAAAAAATGAAGTAAATGTATGATGAATTTTAAGTTCTTATTAGTTTATGTATATGAGTACAAGCTTTTTATAATAAAATGCCTCAAAACTACAAATTTTAAAAATGATTAAGCACAAACTAAAAGCTTTGGTACAAGTTTCTTGTTTAAATTTAGAATTTTAAATCAGATTATAGAATATTTGGAGATTAATGCTCAATAATTATGGATAAATACATACCATTTGAATAGAAATACTGTTCATTACTCATTTAGCAAATTTAGTACTTACGTCAAAGCAAAGTAAACATGACAGTCTGTGGGGTGGGAAACTGATAAACTGGTCATTAACTACCATGTGATGAATATTATGATTGAATGAATTAGCACAGGTTGTTATATAGTAGGGACTCATCTCATTGGGAGGAAAGATGGTCAAGTTACAGAGAACTGGCCCAGCTGCTTGGAACACTGAACTTAAAAGTGAATTTGGCCACAACTTTGCCACAAGAAATTGATCTAGGTTATGTATATATCACTGACAAAATTCAGATTTCCTACATTTAAAAACTGATTAAAAAAATCTGGAAGTACAGGTCTTGTTTTTAATCAAGCTAGCCCCTTAAAGAAACTGGCCATTTATAATTAACCTTTTTTTATATAATAAGTTTTGCATTTGTTACGACCTAGCTTAAACACAACAAACTGAAATGCCCTCAGTTATAAAAAAAGAAAAGAAAATTATGTGGGTATATCTGAATATTTTATTTTTAAGTGATCGTTGGAGTGTCTCAAGGGATATACAGTAGTCCTCCTTATCTGGGTTATACGTTCCAGGACCACCAGTGGATGCCTGAAACCTCGAATAATACTCAACACTATATATTCTATGTTTTTTTTCCTACACATATATACCTAAGATAAAGTTTAATATATAAATTAGGCACAGTAAGAGATTAACAGTAATAATAAAATAGAACAAGTATAACAATATACTGTAATAAAAGTTATGTGAATGTGGACTCTCAAAATATTGTATGCACCTTTTCACTTCAAGGAAGCACTTTATACCTTCTCTAGGGCATATCCGAATTGTCAGCATCACTGCTCTTGCACTCCGGGGTCATTATTAAGTTTTAAAATAAGGATTACTTGAGCACAAGCACTGATGACAGCCAACCTGATAACTAACTAATGGGCAGGTAGCCCATCTACTGTGTGGAGATGCTAAAAGGATGATTGTTACAAAGTAGTCATAGGGATGTGGGGTATAGCATAAGAAATATTGTCAATAATACTGTAATAACTATGTATGGTATCAGATGGGTACTAAATTTGTCAGGGTGATAGATGGGAGGGGGAGTTGGGAGATAGGGTGAAAAAGGTGAAGGGATTACGAAGTACAAATTGGTAATTACAAAATAGTCATGGTAATGTAAAGCATAGGGAATATAGTGAATGGTATGGTAATAATTATGCATAGTGCCAGGTATGCACTAGGCTAGTCAGGAAGATCACTTCTTAAATTATATAAATGTCTAACCAGTATGCTGTACACCTGAAATTAATATAAAATAATATTGAATGTCAAAATAAAGTGTAAAAAAAGAGCGAGATTAATAGCTAAAATATTGAAGTTACAATAAAAAAATTTGAAGACTAAAAATTTTGGGAAAATAAATTTGATTTAAAATTTCCAAAAAAATTTTTTTGCTGTAATAACTGTATTGCTTACAACGCTGATATAAGGGTGGGGAAAAATTTTAAAAGTCAATTGAGTACATGACAAAGTCATTTGTTTTTCATCTAAACAGTAAAACCATGATTTTGTGTTAGGCTGAACTTGTATTTTCTATTGAAGTGCACCTGGTTCCCTAACGAAACATATGAAAATTGAAGTAGAGAACATATTTACATGTCAGCACATTTGGAGTTTAGGCAGTTCTTATTTTTATTTTATTTTATATAAGTCTGTCCATCAGTTCCTATTATATTTTTCCAGGGTTTCACAACACTGTTCTGAAATTTTCTAGTTAAGATGTTAAGCTTCACAAATATTTTGTGTTTCACAAATATTTTTTTTCTTCCAGACTTTCACATCACAGACAAGGTAGATGTCAATTTCTATACAGCAGAATGATTTTTAAAAATTGGATTTTATTCAATGTTTGAATACCTAATATGTGCAAGGAATAATGGAGGGTTCGTAGACAAATAAGATGTGCTCCAGTTCTCAGGGATATGATGTAGAAAGGAAAATATTCACGGGACAATCTTAAGACAAAGAAAGAAGTCTGCCTTTATCAGGGAGGTGTATTGAATGAGTTTCCCTGGTAAGTACCTGACAGATAACAGCCCTTGGCTTCCAGCATATCTCCCCTCTTTGTTCCTAGCTCTGAAGTGTCCAGATTAACACACTGGCCCTTCATCAACATCAGTTAGCATTCACTATTCCTCTCGTTGTCTGAGCACAGGGAGGGAGGGGGCATAAACACATACACACTCACTGGAACTTGCCTTTGCACACAATAACAAAAAGTTTACTGTCTGGTGGAAAAGGCAGATAAGCAAATCATTGATAGCACAGCATGGTGGGGACACTGTGGGATTACAGAGAACGACATATAAAAGATGAAGAATCTGGGAAACTTTCTTAAACAAAGTAACACGAGATTTGAAGAATGAGTGGGTATCAAGTGTTAATTTCAGTACTAAGACACAAAGAATAGTGACTGTGAGTACTATTTTCAGGTATTAATGGAGTTTGGTAAAGCTAGTGAAGAGGGTGCATGAGAAGAAAGGGCACAAATAAGGCAGAGAAGTTTGGGAGGAGTTAGTAAACTAAGCTAAAGATTTTAATATTCTGAATCCCTGTATTGTTTAAACAGTGAACTATCCCAAATAGATGTAAGTTTCAGAAAGATCTTTCTGGAGATGATGTGGAAAATGGATTAAAAGGGTTGGAATCGAGGAAGAGCTTGATGAAGTAGCTTTAGACAGAACTTGGCCTGGATAAAGTCAGTGGCAGTAAAATAAACTGGGGTAAAACCTATTAAAGGTTTAAAAAATAATTCTATTTTATATTTTAAAATAGGTATTGAAAGTTTTTTCCTTATTCTTTTGGGGATTACATACAATAGTAAACAAAATCACATATGAATTGTCTTATTGCACGCCCTAAGTTGTTAGATTATAAGACTTAGTCTATCTGAAATCATCTTTTGTAAATTGTATATTACATAACCTACCTAATTTGTTCTTAATTTGCATCAGTTAAGATGATAGTTTTTACAAACTTAAGTTTTAAAAGACATTGAATTAAGATTTTGAGAGTAAAGGAAAGAAACATCATCTATAATTCCACCACCCTAAAATAACAACTATTGTATTAGGAAATGTCATGCTTCCTTGCAGTTTGCCCTTTGTAAATGCTTTTTAAAAACATAATTGTGATCATCAACACTTACAATTTTGTACCTTGCTTTTCCGAGAACATTACAGATATTTACCCATCTTTCTAAAAAGTAACATAACCATCATCTTAAATGATTGTACAATATCTCATCAAGTAGATAGGTAGTAATTTAACTTCTCTTCTATTGCTGGATATTTATATTGTTTTCTTCTTTTGCTTTTATACATAACATTGTAATGAATATCTCATGTATATAGCTTTTTCCATATCTTGGGTGATTCTTTTTAATTAATAAGCTCGTAAAATTGCTGGATCATAGGGTATGAACATTTTTAATGACTCTTCATGCATATTGCCAAATTATAACACCCACTTTCTGCCATTTACCACCCACAGTTCTAAAGATAGCATAATGAAAATTTTGACACCGACAGACTTAAGGACTTTAGTTACTCATTCATCTTTGTGTTTCTGAGTAGCCACCACAGGAACACTGAGTCTCCCAAGGAGGAAAAAAAGATTCTAAAAGCTGCAAAAGGAAAAGTGCAAAGAATAAAAAAAAAGAAAAAGATTTTTGAATTAAGGGAAAACTGATAAGAGACAGGAAAAGGATTAGGCAAGCTGGTCACAGTCAGCAACAGACAGGGAGATGTGACACAATAAAAACTGGGTCATTGAGTTGGGACAGCCCTAGGACATAAAAACACTGAAATGAAGTAAAGCTCTGGATTACTTTGTTCTTGAATATTGAATTTTTTCAGAAGCATGGAGCATGAAATATTATAGTGATAAGCCAAGATTGGAAACATAGCCAAGAAAAAAAGGTCTTTAAGGGATTGTTTAAAATGTGCTGAAGGAATAATTTGGTTTGGTCTTAAAACAGCTCAAAAAGTAAATTGACATAAAGCTTTTGAATAGCAAAATAGACATGGAGGCAGAAAACAATGAGGC